TCCCTCCTTTTTATTTCCCAGGTTCTGGATTTTATCTAGTATTGAACGGTTTTGATTTTTATTTTGATCTACTTTGAATGACGTGACACTGAAAACCAGCAAATTGTCCGAGGAGCAAAGTTTAAGAGGGCTCCATTTGTTTTTGAAGGATATATTGTTAATGTTAGATGCAACCTCTTTTTCAAATTCATGGAGTCCATAACGGTTTGTATATAAACCTGTAGCACAGGGTTGAAATTATTTAACTTACATGTGTAAATATATCGTTTGGCGATAAGGAAAAGGTGATGTAATAATAAATCGGAAATATTTAACAATTATTCCTCGAGCCCGAATGGGCTGTGAGCAAGAGAGGATAAAGGGGACAGAGAAGGCATCCCCCATACACACCCTATTCCGTAGGTAATTCGTCTCGAGTTATTTTTAAGACCACAGATCCCAAGGGGGATTAGACAACAGCCAATCACAGAGCGCGAATGTGTTCCGCGTGGATGACCCACGCTCAGAGCCACGCGTCCTTCACGAATTGACGCTGAAAAAATGGTGGAAGACGCGGAGAGCGATATTGCTATTCGTTTTGTCAACGAAAACGACTAAAGAGAGATTTCTACCAAAGCGGTGTCAACGAAATGGAAAAGAGTATAGAGCTAACAGTACAGCAGGGAAATCTTTAACACACTGTATATTCTCTCAGGATCATTTATAATTTACAGTTTGAAGAGGGCAATTTGTGGTTTGATATTTATTCTTTTATTAGTCTTTTATTATTCAACAAAAATATCACTTGGCATCCTACTTGCTTTATTGTACAAACGACCGGTTTCAATAGACCGGCGAAATTTCTCATTTTATTAAAGCACTGAGGTTACGACAACTTCGAGTTAAACTGATTTCACGGGTTGTCAAAGAGTCCAGCGATTCCCTTTTCCCAGGTGAGCGCCGACTCATTTCGCTTAAATATTCAGAAATGTTCTCGATCTCTTTACGCTTTCATTGCCTTCCGCCCGACATGTTTTGCACGTCGTTTAGTCATGCGAAACCTCCACGAAACATCCACGCAGCGCGCGAGGTAACTTTATCCCGATTCTAAAAATAACTCGAGACGAATTACCTATGGAATAGGGTGTGTATGGGGGATGCCTTCTCTGTCCCCTTTATCCTCTCTTGCTGTGAGTCAATAGCCCATGCAGGAGGCCGAAGGCCGAATGGGCTATTGACTCAGAGGCATACCTCAATTTGCATACCTATTTACACCCCGGTGTAAAAGGTGTGCTCAGATTTATTCCCCAGTTTGCACAAATTTGCATCATATTTGCGCTGAGCAAATTTAAAGCAAATCCCTTTTTTTCGTCCAGTGTTGACAGCTGAAGCTAACAGAGTTTTGCGTCAACTTGTGATGTATTTAACTCTCTTTTTCCACTTGATGTACAAAATGAAATGCAGCTGCTATCAAGAGTCGTCTGTTATTCATAGCTGGTTTGTTTATTGGTTTTTTGGTTGAGAAATGCGTCGCTTGTCAAAGTCGGAAATCCGATTTCGGATGGCATCGTTTTCGTTTTTCATGTTGCTTGATACGTAAGAGGGTTGGAAAGTCTCAAGTGATTCTGGTCTTACTTGATATATAGTTTTCAGGAGCTGCATCTCAACTGGTATGCCTGAGTAATTATTGTATTTGATGTTTGTTGTTTTATATCTAATTTCATGAAGTCGATCACAGTTATGCGGCAAGTTTATGCGCGTTTGTAAGATTTGGCAGAACTTTAAAAAGCCTTTAGATATACCTTCTCACCGCAGATAGAAAGAAACGTTCCGAAGGATATTTAGTTATAAATTTGGCTGTAGAAAGAAAACTTTGAGCGATTTTCTTGTTTTGAGTTCATCTTTGAAACAAGCAAACACCGGGCTCTTTTGCAAATTTAATCGCTCTGCGGTTTGTTTTCAGTCGTTCATGAACATCGCTTGGAGGAGGACTTAAAATGCCGCGCGTATCAAACGTTATAAACCCATTAAATAGAAGAATAAACATAATAAATTCTTTATTATGTTGAAGCGTAACTCTATTAATGTTCATTCAAACACTCGACACAGCTCGCACTGCAAGTTTGGCGCTTGTCGAAAATGAGAACCGGCTGGCCGTATAGGTTATTTTGGAAATTTTTTGAACGGTTTCGCTATTAAAAAGCCCAGGATTGATCGTCCTGAATATTGACTGGGTGCAATTTGTCTTGAAAAATTGTGAAATACTGCATTCTGTCCAAGGTCTGTATGATAAATACAGTGCCTCATAGTACTGTTTCACCTCAGATGTGATGTATAAAAATTATATAAAGGGTTGGTTTACAGACCCCCAAATTTGTTGGCAAGACTTTGTAAAGTAAACTTGTCGAATGCAAAAAATTGGGCCTGATTTGTTTTCCATGCAAGAATTTGTTTTCCAGGCTTAATCTACTGTAATCAAGAGCCATTATAGCTCTTGAATGAGATCGAGGATGATTGCTATTTTCAGGAGCCGGCTCCTGTATTTTTTGGGTGTACATACAAGGCTATCAACTCGATGTAAGATGTTTCACTCTAAAATCACAAAGCCTTTACCTCAAGAGGCACATGAATGTGCCCTTAAGTTAACTGATTTGTGGATTACAAGTTTGTTGTTTGATTTATATAATAAATTTATTAATGAAAGCTTCCCTTTTAGCCCTGACTAAATCTATATATTGCATAAATACGGTAGAAACAATATTATGAGGGCGCTTTCCAAATATTTTTATCGAAATTTTAACTAAAACCCGTCACTGCCGTGCAAATACTGATCTGGCTGGATAGTTCTGATTAATAGTGGAACTCTCTTTACGACTGGACTGTTCCTGGCAAATGGAAAGTGCCCTAAGTAGTATGGCAAAACTCAACGGCGCAAACGACGCAGTTTCGACAAAGAATGTTGTCAGCTTCTCTTTTTACGCTTGCTGTAACTGCTCGAATTCACATAAGCCCTCCTGCAAATATGCGCCCACTTTCGAATAAGCCGCCCTTTTTGAGGCTGAAAAAATATCAAGCAAGCAAATAAGCCACCCATTCAAATAAGTACACTAACCGTCTCCCCCAAAAAAGACAAAATCCTTGAATATATCGGTATAGAACTAGGATACAACGGTTAAATACCAGAACTTACAGGATATTAGAGGAAAAAGGACTTCAGTACTATCGCTAACGGGTGATCGAGCTATAACTTCAAAAAAAAGCCTGAGAGACGAAAACAGCCGACATTTCGCGACCTCACCACCGAGAAACGTGCGCAGAAATTCCATACTGATGACGCGATCTGGGTAGTGCTTATGATTAGTTAAAGGAAATTTTCCAGATCCAGATCTAAATGGTGTCGCGTTTTCTGCGATCGTTTTTCAGACCTGTTTTCGCGGGGAGACTTGTGGTGGCGTCGCGAAATGTCGGCTGTTTTGTCAGGGTAAAAGTGATCCCTGAAACAGCTTATAACTTGATCGTCGAAGAAATGCCAAAAAAATACATCTTAAAGGCAAACTAATTTTATTCGCCGAATTACTGGCCTCAAATAAATCAGCCCTTTGCCATATTGCCAGCCTTGCAGTCAGTTTTGTTTTAATTCCCACTTCAAGTAACGTCTGGCATTAGCATTTCTTAATGTATCTGTTCCTTTGCGATGCATGTTAAAAGCAGTAACTAAATAATGACAAGTTGGCGTTAATGGGGGAGCACTGCCTTGCGCTAGGTTAGCCTGTGCGACTTCCGGCGATGGTGTGACAAAGAACATCACTAATCTTCCCAGCACTACGAGCTGAATGCAGTACAGCACGTGCTGGATCGGACAAGAGTATCGGTTTGCAGGCGATACTAAACGGCAACGCGGCCAACAAGCTTTGGGGAAGTCTCTGCGCAGACTTAACCGCACCGCCGAGGAGTGTCCCTAGTTTATTTGATGGCATAGCACAAAACAAAGCCCAAACCTCATCTCCAAAGGGAGGGAAGGAGGGAAACATTTTACAACAATAATATGCTGTACTAAGCGCTAGCGCTCACCTTGCTGAATAACAGAACCCAAGTGAACTCTGAACACTTGTTCTAGGCTTTTATAGCTAGACAAACGTCTGCTGGCATAGCCAGTAGAAAAGCCTGTACTACAAGACTTAGACAGCTCAGCGTTGTACGTGCTAACTCTTAGCCATGAATAGTGCATTGAAAAAGTTGGCCAATGCTGTGGATCGTACTAGCCTGCTAAAGACAACAAGGCCGTAAAGTTCTACGCTAGAATACAATGTATCTTAGAGCTTGCTGACCTTGGCAGCTTGACTACACAACTGTTTTATTGAAAAAGAACCGCCATGAAAGGGTTACTGATAACTAGCGTCACGTTCCATTAACTACATTTTACTGGCGTGACAGTAAAAGAGATCCGGCAAGAAAGAACGAGTCAGCTTTATTTACGCTTTGAGTGAACCTCTGCATTCAAGGGCTTTTACTAATTTTATGGTTTGCCGCACCATGTATGTCGTTTTGAAAATGCCCCAGTAATCTTTATTTATTAAATATTACACTTCTAAATTAATCATGCATATGGAACCAGCTCTACTCCTGTATTCAAAGTACAGTCACAAAATGAATGTACAACGTTCTGTCACCTAACTTATGTTCTTTCCTCCGAAAATATTTTTCAATTCTTCAGTTGCTTACTATGCATTTACACAAACCACAAGGGTGGAAATCTTGTCAAGAAATATCAAACTATCAAATTTGAGGCGGTGGGAGAACGACAAGCCACAAATTTATATACCCAAATAAGCTGGACAGACTAAATATGGTGGAAAAGTTAAATAGCCTGAAATCACTGCCAAATTTTCTGAAGCTTCCTAAATGCAATGCTGGCGCAAACTATTTGTTTTTCTAACCGGAATTTCCGGTTTTCCATGTAAATTGTACGCATCCTTCATCATTTATTCCTACAATGAGGTGTCTCTTTTATTCGAGCGGTAATGAACAACAAGAGGCGATACAACAAAGTCAGTTATACAGGGATCTGAGGGGTCCCTGACAATTTGCTGACTGTGCGCTCTGTCGTTATGGCCACCAATGCTGTCTGGCGCAACTTCAGTTGTTTCTTCCTCTTCAAGCTGAACGTCAATAGCCCCAGTGTCCTTGACGGCGCCAGCCACGGAGGGCATAGCTATTTGTCCACTTTGAAATTGCTGCCTCAGAACATCCTGCCCCACCATGCCTCGGATGTCTCCCTGTAGGTCGTTAAGAGGAAGAAGCATTGCTAGGCAACAGGACATGGACCACTCGGGATTTTTCCTCCATTCTTTAATGAAATGGTAAAGGTATACCGAGTACTGAACTGAAATCAAGACATAAAAAGAGTGAAAAGGTAAATCTTAAGCGAAATATGCAGACTACAAACAACAAAACACAGCCTGCGTTTGCAATACAGGGCTGGTAGTTTAATCGATGAATTGTTGTTGTGGCCATTTTAGTGTGCGTAGCAAGCGTTTTTGCTCGAGTTAATGAACGAAAGCTGTAACGAGAGAAAAAAATAAAAGAAAGGAGAGGGAGAGGAAGAAGGGAGAGAGTTTCCCTTTGAGGGAGGTAGGGGTAATGGGAGGGGAGAATTTAGTAAGGGGAGTGCACGCGCGCATAAGCGTCGAGCGGAAAAGCCGCGAGAAACGAGGGTGGCGGCTCTCCCGTCTTGCGCCTTCAGTCACGCGCGTGGTCATTTTTGTGTCTAGCGCGTTTCGCTCGGCGGACTAAGAAAAAAGAGAGGCTTCTCGTGGTCTCAATCTTCAGCCTACTCACCAACAAGTAATCCGATCACAAGAGTGTTGGCAGCAATCACCAATATGTTGAACATAACAGAGTCCACATACGGATCTATCGACGCTGGAACATTTTCTTTGGGAATTTTGCTGACAGCTCCAATGCCCAGATTGACGAACGTAACAGCGAGAGAAGTAAGCATCAGTTTCAAAAGTTTACCTAGAAGATGACCAGAGTGCATCCGTTTTTTGTAAGGTATGTCGGGACTTTATTGCGTTCGGTTAGGTTGCATACGGGACGAGAGGGGAGGGTGCTCTTACAAGCCAGATGTCAATATAACTTTGCGAACTGTCTCGACAAGCTCCCAATACCATGATCTGGCTGTGTAATTTTCAGAAAGAAATGTCATCCCTGCCGCCAATTCTTTTCCAAAAGTTTGTTTTTGTCCAGAGTCGTTTATCGATGCTTTGACTTTTCTGTTTTGCTTCCAGAGAAAGAGGTAAGAAGCAAGAGGCAAAAAGACGATGTATGCAATTGCAAAATATGCTACAGAAACCAAGCACTTGTACCTTCGACCACGGCAATCAATAGTAAAGTCTGCTTTTAGATATTTGGAGCAATCTTTACCGTTATCTTCATGACAAATCTCGCGGCAGGCAAGGGGAAGGACGTTTGCTGTTTTTGAGCAGGTGCTAAGATAAGTAACAAACAAGAAGAAAAAAAGATTTCTGTAGATAAGCTCCTTGCTTTCTGAAATCTGCTTGGCTTCCGCATCATTTTCCAAGTGACGACTTTTGGAGATCATCAAAAGCCTTTTTATTCCATAACATGTCCCAGCCACTGCAACAGCAGCTGCATTCATTGCGAGGATAGCAAACAAACTCTCAAATGCATCCACTTTAAACTGAGGAAATAGACAATGAATTGGAGCAATCTGAAGAACATTTAGTTGAAGCATTTCTGAATATTTTGCTATGGCAGCCAGGGAATCAGGCCACTTAATAAAAGTGAAAGCATCCAGTAAGCCAAACGTAACCTGATAGAAACCAATGACGATTTTTAGCCTGGCCAAAATTATGTCAACCAAAGCACGCTCTCTGTTCTCTTTGTTTTTCTTAATGCTCGTCCAAACTACGACCACTACAAGGAGCAGCAGCAAAACGAAGGTGATGGTCAATTGACCCGCCATCCAAGCCTTTGTTGGACACTCCTTGCAGGTCTGAAGGTGCTTGTAATACCCATGGCTACAAACTGCACAGATGGGCCCTTCATAGCCCTGTTCACATTTGGAGTTCAGACCTCCTAAGCATGATTCCTTTCTTGGGCATTCATGTGGCATAGGCAACGGAAAAGGGTATTTGACTCCGTTACCGTCGAAGGAAGGATTTGATGACAGCAGATTTAAGGTGTAGTTCTTATAGAGGCCTTTGACGGAGTCATTGTACCATTTCCACCAATAGCCCGGCTTAAGTGTAATGTAGTCATTTTCGCATTTCAACCCTTCTTTATTGCACGGCCGACAGCCTTCAAACATGTGAGTGCGATGAAAACCATTCAAGCATTTGCATGCACGAAATCCAGCGAACGAATCGGTGTCTGTTCCTTTGTAAAGGAGTCAAGGATAGCATAACAGTTAATTGAAGAAAACTTCCATAAATAGATAAAAATGCCAAAAATTGATTTTTTAAAATCAATTTTTCTACAGCTCTCTCGAGAAACCACGACTGTCAGAGCAAATTGTTATAAAGAATTTCAATTTTTTCTACTTAGACATGACACGAATTTTTTTTAGATTTCCTGCGTGCCGCCTTTTGTATCAATCAAAGTATCAATCTGACAAAATCTCGTACCCAGATCTCACTCTGTCTTTGGCCGAGAGAGGTCTGGGTAGGAGATTAATATTGACCTCATTTGGTGACTGCTGTTGTCAAGACCCAACCGCAGCGATCAATTGAATTCACAAAAATGAAAATGGCAGCGCTCGAAAAATTTCTAAACGTTAAAAGGAGATTTTCGAATCAATTTTTGGTTCAATAAAATCTATTTTCTCTTAGAACATTTTAAATCAAATTGCTGTACAGTTATCAATACTCGGGGTTGTGTCGTTACCTTGAGGGCACGCGGTGCAGTTTAATGCATTTGTCCCTGGTCTATTGTAGAGAGAAACGTATGTTCCATTTGGACACTTTCTACAGCCCACTTTGCTTACAAAAGCTAAGGAATCCGAAAAATATCCCCCTGCAAAATGAAACATTAACAGGAATGAAAATATTCTTATTGCTTAAGTGGTTAGGGCGTGGTCGATTGCCCTTTTTTCGAAAAAGAAATAATTCGCAAAAGTTTTGTTTTGTTTTCAAACCCTACATTCATCGAAATATTTTATTTCAACCAGATTTCTAGACATTTCAATGCAATGAATGCTAAAAAAAGTGATTTACAGAGCGTATTTCATTTATTCTTATTCCGGAAGAAGATCAATCGAACACGCCCCTAATATAAGAAATAGATTGAGGAAGATGAATAACAAGGCGTCAAAGGAAAAGATGTTACTGGAGAAGCAGGAATAATGGCAATGAATAGATTTATGGCCAGGAGAGGGAAGAAAAAATGTTTTAAAGCAATCAATAACGAGGTTGGAAGGAGTCAACAGAAGGTAATTAAACTGAAAGTTAAAGAAGCAAAACCGAACGTAGACCAATCAATAGACGAAGTGGTTATTTAACAGGACAATCAAAGAAAAGAGAAGGAAACGGATGAAGGGAAAGAATGATTAAAATGGATCAATGGATTAGTGAATATAAACATGAATGAACGTAAGAAATATACATATTGAAGAAAACAACGACAACAACAACAACAACAAAAACTAAAGTCTGAAACTTGAGAGAGAGACAGAGAGAGGTATGGATGATGGAACATTGGCTAACGTCGGTCACATGGCAAAAATTTACCTGGAGGGCAAAGTTCACAGCTCGGCCAATCTTTAATTGATGCATTGACAAATGTTCCTGTAGTGCAGGGAAAATATCTAACGCGCTGTTGCGTAACTGTTTCGTTTGCAAACCCTGATTGTCGTAGCGACCGTCGTAAGATAGCCGGGTATTTTGTGTAGAACAGGTCATCAAAAGGAAATTCGAGATATTCTTCGTCACTGTTTCCAACTCCCCTAAATTAGATATTAACAAAAAATTAAAAAAATAGTTACCTTACACAGTGTTGTTACAAATAAATAAATAAATAATACATTTTTTGTCTCATCCTTCGATTACTGGGCAGTCAAAAACATCGTCAATTTAGAGTAGTTTTCGACTTTTTAACTGTTAATGTCATTATTGGCTAGATTCATCAAAAAACCTTAGTAATGAAATAGCTACATTCCATATTTCAACTCAACAGCCCCCTGGGGGTACTATATATAATGTCCTATACGGTGAGGCTCCGCCCTAAAAGGGTATCTTTTTCAGGCTTAAGGCATATGAAAGGATAGGGATTTCACTAGCTAAAGTATCAAGTGCAATCAATTTAAACGATTATATTCCATTCTCTCCATTTGTAATGATGATGATGATGATAATAATAATAATTATAAAAGTAAATTATAATCATAAAAAATTCTCCCAGAAACCTTTGAGGCAATTTTTTAAAAAGCTTTATTACTTTGACAATTTTATACGTAGAAGATCACAACGAGGTAACATTTGCCATAAAATATGGAAATAATGTTGAACAATGTTGTGTTAATGTTTTCTCCGACCGATGAAAACACACCTTACGAGCAGGGAGAGAATCGTATGGTCAGCGGTCAGTCGGTAGCCGCGCGATCGATAGTTCATAAATTTCTTAAACGTTCCTCGGCATGAACCAAGCCTGAAAGAGTATTAATGGGTATATTGTGAACTTTGCGTCTAGCCTCGACTTCTACACGGAAATTAAAAAAAAAACCGAAAAAGTCATCCTTGAAAACTGTCAATGACTACCGAGAAGGAATATATACTTCGTTTAAACTCGAACTGCCAGCGTTTATCATGTTTATTGAGGTGGTCCATTAGATAGAGGCGTTAACTTTTAGTTCTAACTGATTTTGAGGGTAGGGGTTCGAATCCCCTTGAAGCAAATTTTTCTTAACCTTATATTTTTTTCTTTTTCTTAAATCTCTTTTTTACTCTCTTTTTTACCTGTGTGGTGCATATGTGCAGTAACATGATGTGGTAAATTGAAAGCAAAGTTTACAGGAATATAAAAACTGCGGTATGTATCCTAGCGTACCTACCGGTATTTTTAGTAATACTGGACACTGTTATCATTACCCAGCTCAATAATCGATTTTTAAAGGTGCCTAATTTAATTCGAGAGGTAACTGCTTTGAGATGGGACGTCTGAATCAACTAAATTCGACAGTTTCAAATTAAATACGACTTTGTGGAATCTGCGACTGAAACAGTCAAAAATTCGACTTAGGTTCAACATTTGATTTAGAAGTCGCATTTCACATGTGCCGAATATAAGGCGATAATTACAGAAACCCTTATCCATACTGGATAAAAAAATTCTCTAGAGACTGGGAATATTTACAACAAACGGAGTTAAATTTGACACCATCATATCCGACGTCTGAATCAACGGCCGTATTTAATTACTTTCATCGACTAAAACAGGTGTTCGGCACTCATAATAAATTCCACTGTTGGAAGGGGTCTAACATGACAAAAGTTTTAGCTTAGTGTTTTGCAGGCTGTTATTAAGTTGTTGTTTTCTTTTCAGTAAGAAAATTCGTATCTCTCTTTGTAAAACCATTTTATGAATCGGCTTGTGCCGCGACTGAAGAATCAGCTGTAATAGTTGATTTTACTTTCTCCTTGACATGATTTGTATGTCACTGGACATGATTTGTACAACAAAAAGAGCGATCAATTTTCTATCAATCCATTTCAATAAAAGCAAATGGAATAACTTCTTACTATAGCGGACAACCTCGAACCGTGACTTCGTCGTAGAAATATGCAGCACCGAAGAAAGACTTAAAAGCTAGCCCTTCTTGATCAAATTATTTTGAGGTTTAAACTCGAAACTCTATAAAGTATAAAATAATTATAATTTACTTTTACCGGTATCACTTGTAATAATAATAATAAAGATACTTACAGTTGAATTTTACAAAGCATAGAACCAATCTTGTTCTTTAAAGTCATTGAAGCAATTTGGCTATCGCTCATACTTCTGCAAGGTAAGGATCGATTGGTTGAGTTCCACCTTTTTAGCCGGAAGGGTAGAAGGGAAAGTGGTCTGTTATGGCTTCTTTTGTTTTGTTTTGTTTTGTTTTTTTTTCATTATCGTTAGCAATTTTCCATGTCGGTCAACACAAGAAACACCTTAACAGGCTTTACTTACAACTGGAAAGGGTTAAAATAAATCTGCGAGGTTAATACGCTTGCGCAATCCTTATTTAATACAGGTTACTTTGCACATTCTTCCGACAACTTAAAAGTTGTCAAAAGAAAATAAAAATAGTTTAAACTTACATTTTGGTTGTTGCACTATCCACACCTTCCAGTGAATCCAGGTCGAGGGATCTTAAAGCTGTTCGTATCATGTATCTGTTGCATGTAATATATAGATTTAGCCAAGGCTAAAAGCGAAGCTCTCGTGGGTTCTTTTAAGAATCGAACTGTCTTTCTAAACGAAAGTTTTCTGAACATGCGATCACTTGGAATGCCCTAACTGATCAGTGGAGAACCTTAAAAATGAGTTGTACACCTGAGCCCGCGATACAGTCTTGTAACACTGGCCAGCCGGTATCCTGTTTTGGAAGCTGTCAATTGGTCATAACATAAATGTCCAATGTCAAGTTAATCACCAAATCAAGTCATGGTCTGTGCTTAACCCAGTCACCCCTGAACCGCCCATAACCGCCCGTGCGGATCCAGGTCCTTTCTAACCTTTGTGAGTTCATCAGTTTTAACGGTCAAGGACAAAGTTCTTCGCTAACGTGTGCAGAGTGAAGAGATCTTTCAAACCATACCAGAATGAGCACAATTCAGTCAAGGACACCGGAGAAAGAAGCAAAAAACCACGTGACATTGACTTGAAAATCTCCATGAAAATCTTGTTCCATTGCTCACCTACCTTTCCTTTCACCTAATCCTAAGATCCTAAAAGCTTTCCTAAAAACTGAAGGGTGGTTTTACTTCGGATGATTTACGGGTCGTTCTCTTTTTTTTTACTCCGTTCTTTTCGCTTTTTTCTTCCGCGGAGAGAAAGCGATTTTAAACCCAAAAACTCGAAATTTTGCTTTCTGCGCATGCCCGAACTTCGCCAGCTGATATTTTCCATCTGGCTCAGAAGGCCGCGAAGTGTACGACCTGTAAACCGGTTTGTGGTAGGTTTAAGCTCTTTATAGCACGAAAGTGACTAGAATACCACTCGACTAGCTTCAAAACGCGTTTTTCGGCAAAATCTCCAGGAGCGAATGGGTTAAACAACGTTAACTCAGAGCATCAAAAAATTGTCGACGTCGCTTACGAGAGTTTACAGCTATAGTGCTTTGCCTCGGGGAAAACTTGGTGTTTTCGTTGAAACTCATTGTCTTCAGCACCGAAAAAAATA